CAGATCAAAGAAACTGACTATTCACAATGTGCCAATAAACCAATCCAGCTGCTTTCAACTGCACTGCCTGGTATTGTATTCAGGGATTTAATATGGGTAAAATTGTTTTGGCAGGTCTGCTTGACAGATCTCCATTCTAATACTCTCCTTTCCCTTCACCCACTTTCTCCCTGGGATCGATATAACAGAGCTTTTTCCAGCTCTGATCTGATCTGTGAGTAGGGATATGGTTCCCATGATCCTCTCTTGAAAGTAGAGGCAATTGCCACCACCTTCTATGACACAGTTATTGACGAGAGAGGCTTGACTCAAACACCCACTGAGCAGTGAGAGTGATTCACTATTGGAACAAACTTCCAAACAAAGGGGTAGATTTTCCATCCCTTGATGTCTTCAGTTAAGACTGGATGCCACAGGTTATTGTTGCAATATGGGGCTAATTGGGTGAAATTCTATGGCCTGAATTGTTCGGTTAGTTAGACTGGATGATCTAATTGTCCCTTCTAGCTTTAAAATCTATAGTCCCTTGGACTTGGTGTGAGTTCAGCTGTGAACTTCACTGCCATAATGGAATGAGCCAAAACCTCTGATTTACCTCTACCCCATCTCAGGCTTTGGGAAAATGTGGAGCTGAATTTCATAGTTGGTCCTTATTTTTATAATGGACCTTACACAAACACAAATCTTAAGACATCTGTATTTTAAGAAAGTTTGGCTTTGGATTCAAACTTTACAGCTCTGGCCCATCTCTTATGTTGATTTATTTTAGCTTTTCATAATTCATCTTCCTAACAGCAGATCTTTAACCCCTCTTTGTAAGGTACTGATAAGGCTCTCCATTAGCATAGTACCCAAGAGCATCAGTCTTTAGTGTACGTATCCTCACAATGCCCCTGTGAGGTAGGTAAGTATTATCTCCATTGAACAGATAGTCTCTGTGCCTCAGTTCCCCTAAGTGACTTGCCCAAAGTCACACAGGAAGTCTGTGGCAGAGCAGGGATGGAACCCAGGTTTCCTAACCTGGATCATCCTGCCAAAAATCGATCTGAGAATGTATATCAGGAAAGGTGATCTGGGTGCAGATTCTTGGCTCCTTTGTTCTGTTGTTTTTCTATATAAACTTCTAGGAGTTCTGTACATGCGTAGCAGGGAGATCACATCATGGTTAGTATGCCAAATGTCTCTCATATAGACAAAAACTGAGAAGCAAGATCTGACATGTGGATCAGAAAGGAGAATTACCACTAGTATGATAGTTTGGTTATGATTTTCCCCCTAGATGGCCTTATTAACTATATAATAAGGTCAAGCCAAATGGCTCTGCTTTATATAATATGTAAATAAGTTCACAACCTTCGCGAGTAATCTTCCAGTATAGGAGGAGCACAGTGCGTCCTATTTAGTTCTAATTTTAAGGTGAAACCAACAACCTACTCATTAGCTTGTTATTGTAACAGTCTTACATTAGTCTGTGTGTGTGTGTGTGTTCCCAGTCTCCCAAATGAATGCATCCTGTCCGGTAGGAATTCCTGACCTCCAGAGTAGGGAAATGATGACATAAGAAGTCTCCTACCCAGATTGTCTAATCTGTTCCTCAGACACTCCCCAAGCCTCAGGAGAAGAATGTGGCTGACTGGGAATTGCAAGCAAAGCATTCCTGAGACGTGGCACACTTACAACTCAGAAATGTAACGGGCACACAGTGATGCGGGAGGGATGTGTTTGGACGAGGCCAGGCAATGACTGTGATCCATAAAAGTCCCTTTGTAATAGGTTCAATGCATTCAAACCCCATTTGTTCTTAACAGTTTTGGTGCCATCTCTCCTTAGGCGTTCTGAACCGATTGCCAAATTTCTGAGTACAGTACAGCTTCCAAGGCAATGGTTGGGGATCTTTACAGAGAAGGAAGAAAGGATTCCAAGAGAAGGAAGGATGTGGGGGTATGAAGGAAAATCAGTGTGTATCCTCATGGCTCTATTACTGGTAGGTGCTGGCACCACCAAAGTCTTAAGCATGTTTGCCAGAAAGGTTGTAATCTAGTCAAATGACATAACAGCTTCATGCGCTAGCTCCTGACTTTTTCAGAATTCCCCTTCTGTGCCGTTTTTATGAATCCGTGATTTAAAACCCTTTAGGAAGATGTAGTTTTCTGATTATTTCATTATTGGGGATGATCTATACAAGAGCTGAACAAATCCCAGGGCTCTTAAGTCTATTGGAGGCCGGGGTCTTGTGGGGAGCCAAATGAATATTTGCCAAGCTAGACTGGTGGTCTAATATTCTGCACTGGCATGAGGGAGGCAGGTTGAGTTTCTGGCTTAGGTCTCTTTTTGAAAGCCCCCAGTAACTGGAGAGCATGACAGCGGAAGGAGAGCAGTGTGGCCTAATGGGTAGATCACTGGACTGGGATTGGGGGGGGGGGAATTAGGTTCTATTTCTGCCTTTGCCACTGGCCTGCTGGGTGACCTTGGGCAAGTCACTTCACTTCCTTGTGCCTCAGTTGGGCTTTGACATCTACTGATGAAAAGTGCGGTATAAGAGTTGGGTAATATTCTTCTGTCTCTTACCACCATACCCCAAAAACAAATTCTGGGTGATTGACTCATTTGGCAGCTGTTGTCTTATCTTAGTTCCCCATTTGAGTAACATTGATAGTTGAAGGCACCTGATTTCATATAATGCAACACAAAGGTACTGTTTTATGCATCAAACCATATCCCCCCAAACTCCAGTGTTAAATGGGGCGATTTGCACAGATAAATAAAATCAACTATATTAGATCACATATGACATATGTCTTTTGTGACTTCAAAAAGAAAACATGCACAATCAAAAACAACACTAACATCCATATAATACATGAAAATATCAATCAGAGCTTATTAAAATACTCTCTTCGTCGACACAATGCTAACAGGTCAAAAATTGCCACTGATTTGCTTACTACCAGGGATTGATAAAATACAAAAAACATTCTTCTGAAATGGTGATAAAGATTCTTTTTTTATACAAAAGAGGTAAAATCCAACATGCTCTCAGAAGCTGGAAAATTCTACAATCCAAAAGATAATGAGGTAGATCTTCCAGTGCTCCAGATTTACATGGGGAAAAACAAAGATGTGAAGAAACTTTTCCATATCTACCTTTAAAGACAGCAGTTTTCATGGTTTGGAATCCTAACTGAAAATGCCTTACGTAAATGAAGATTTGATGATTCATTCAAATACGGTTCAAAAACATGGGCCGTCTTCAAAGCAGAAAACCAAAAAGCAAACTTAGAATAATGAATCATAGTCAGATTTTCTTACTGGGTAATATCTGTCTCTCTCTGTTTGAGTAGTTGATTACGTTGATGAAAAGGTACGGACAATAAATAAGTAATAGAAAAACCCAGTCTACCTATAATGAAGTGGTGGGTCTCGTACTATGCAAATAAAGAGTACACAGATTGTTCGTCCACCTCTTGAAGGCAAAGATGGGGCAATCTGTAATCTGAAAGAGTACAGAACTTAGATCAAAATTCCTCAGCATCTAAAAACAAGGCAGGAGTAGACTTTGGGAGAATTAAGTCAGTTCCAAAAATTATTTTAAACTATCTCCAGAGTTGCAGTTTGTCCCCCTAAAGCAAACTTCAGAGCATGTGCAATCTTATTTTAGCATTAAAAATTCTTAGCACCGGGGCAACTCTGTTCCCACCATATGAAAGGGTAAAACAGAGCAAAGCTGAATAACACTAGGAGGCCAATAGGAAAAGGAGAGACACAAGAGATGGCTAAGCAGAGGGATGCAGTGAGGCTGTTCCAGATGGCAGGAGCTGCAGAGCAGAAAGCTCTTGCTCCAAAGGCAGCATGATTGTGTGGAGGACGGTGCTATACAAGAGAAGAGGGGAGGAGAAGAAACATGAGGCCTGTGGAGTTCAGACTTATCCTGCATGTAGTCCTGTGTAAGAACTAGTGCATAGGCCCGAAGTTTTCAAAGGGAGCGAATGAGGGCGGGGAACTGTCTATAGGTAAAAGCAGAGCTGGGTGAAGTTTTTCAGTGAATTGTTTTTTCATGGCAAACTGCATTTTGGGGGCCAAATTTTGTCAAATTCAGGTAAAATTTGATTAATAGTTTTGGTTGCAGGGGAAAAAATCGAAAGTCTAAATGTTTTGGTTTGGCCATTTGGAAACCTTTTACTTCGACTTTTCTGTTCAAACTGGCATTTCAGTTTCAAATTTGGCCTGCTTCTTTTTTTTTAAAGTGAAAAACACCGGAAGTGTCCAAATCAAAATGAAAAACGTGTGGGGGGGTGGGGGGAAGGTTTTGTTTCGAGGTTTTTTGTTGGTTGGTTGGTTGGTTTTTAATTTTTTCAGTTTGATGAAAAAATTCCAAAAATGTGTTTAGATTGCAATTGAACCTGATTTTTTTTGGTTTTGCCCCTGAACTGAAAAACTCTGTTATTCGCTTAGCGCTAGGTAAAAGTAACAGGGAAAGACCGTGCAAACTGGGAGCTAGGGGAAGAGGGTGGCCGCTCTTGATCCACACTAGATTCCAACCTTTTAACCCTAGAAGTTAGGCAGTTCCATGGTGGTGCCGACCTGATGATTAGCTACTTTCCTAAGTTACTTTTCAGTGGGAATTGTAGACAGGCTCCTCCGATACTCAGGGCTTGTCTACGTTACAAGGCTACGGTGATGCTGTAGCTTTGTCACTGCCACTCCGCAGCATAGACTCATCCCACAATATCCGAAGATTTTTTTCCATCACTGTAGGAATTCCACCTCCTTGAGCAGCAGTAGCTAAGTCGATGGAAGCATTCTTCCGTCAACTTAGCCGTGACTACACCCGGGGTTAGGTCGGCATAGCTACGGTGTTCAGCATATGATTTTTTTTTTCATGGCAATCTAAGTTTTTAGTGGAGACCAGGCAACAGAAGGCAGGAATGAGGTAATACTCTAAAATGAGATCAGACGGGAGATGTCAGTGAAAGCAGCTGAGGCTGACAGACTGTTGCTAAGCACATCCCCTGAATGCTAAGTGCTTCGCGTTGCAAATGACGCGGCAGCTCAGCTGCGGCAGATCACTTTGCTGAAAGGAGTAGAGGATGAATCCATATTGTGCTCTGACAGAGAAGAATATCAAGTAATCCCAGGAGCATAGAACACAATGACTTAGCACTGCAGAGGAATATTCCATGCTGCCTCCAGCAAGGTAACAAAATCCATACGGATTGCCAGTTAATGACGCACGGGGTCTCTGAATAAAATCTGTAACTAGTCATTCAATCAGAGTGACCGAATTCAATACGAGGTTCTTAGCTGGGATTCCTGCTTTAATGAATCTTTTAAGCTTTTAATTGTGCTCAATTTCCAGCCAGGCTGAATGGAACTTAGTCTACAAGAAATTGTGCCCTCCTATTAGCTATATGTGGCTATCTTGCCAGGGCTTCATCACGTGGTCACCACTGATAGGCCACTTAATAGCAGAGCTGGTCAGAAACTGTCATTTCCATTCCCTGGGGAATTCCAACATTTTGAAATTTCCTTGTGGTCCAAATCGTAACAGGAATCCAAAATTTTGACATTTCCAGCAAAACCAAAGTTCGGAACAATTCCAGTTTGGAACTATTGAACCGTATTTCCATAATGTTGAAATAGTAGAATAGAATATAAAATATGAAATACATGTTATAATAGAGAACTATACAAATCAATATAGTAATATCATTTAAAAGTTGAAATTAAATTAATTCAGCAAAGAAAATTGAAATGAACTTTTTACCATATTGAAATGAAAAGTTTTGATGTAATCAAAATGAGATGAGAAAATCCAAACTCATTATGACTTTTTCAAATGTCATCGAAATCAATTAATTCAATTCTGTGAAGTGTTTTGATTTTGCCGAAACTGCATTTTCTGCCAGAAACCTGTTTTATCAAAACATATTTGACTAGCTCCACTTTGCAATGAGAGCCACTAAGGAGAGATGGGCCTTGAACCAATATCAAGCTCTTTGTGGTTTTGGGAAGCCCGATCTGGATTCCTGGGTTTCACAGTTGGTTTCCCCAGCTCTGTAATAGGTGGAATTAAAACCCTGATTCTGGACAGCCCTCCATACTTTAGGGGCTTATTACATTCAAGTCTGGGTCTGAATTTCACATTCTAAATTTACAGAAAGACTTAAGGAGAGCAAGTGACTTGGAGTTCTAGCAAGTGAAGACATTATCCCCAAGTTCCAGGGGAGGAATGCAGAGAAGAAGCCAACAGTAGGCAGAGAACAAAAGTACATGGGCCAAAATTCAGAAATTTAGGGGCCCAGATTTTTTGGGGTTGCTGGCTTTGGAAAGTTTGGGTGCTTTGTGTCTAGATGGGAGCTGAGCTCATCTGAAAATCTGACCGTTTACTTCAGTGCCAAAGTGGGAGCTGCTGCGTGCTGAGATTGCTTTGGAAAATCTGTCTTAAAGGATTTAAAGCTCCATACTGAACCCCTAAATAAAAGCGACGTGACTTTCAGATGTACTGAACACCCCCCACTTCAGTGGGGAGTCAATAGGAGCTGCCAGTCCATTGGTCCACTCTTTCTGGGTGTCTAACTTTGAAAGCTTTGGCCGCAATTTCCAGTGCTCCTGTACAACTGAATATAACCTGGGCTTTTAGCTTCCTTTCGTCTTACCAGAAGGTCTAAACAATCGGGCACAGAGATCATGGGATTTTTTTGTTGGCAGAGGGGATCTTGTTTATGAAGTTAGCCTTTGATGCTCTTTAGATCTTAGGTTTTCCATAGGAAATAAACTACAACAGGACGCTTGTGTTCCTCTTGACTAGTAGCTGGTTGTTGAGAACTCGTGTGTTCTGTTATAGATACGAGACAGGGCAGCTGGGTGTGTGTTTAACGTCAGCGGATGGAGGGAGGGGACTGAACAGCCAAAGGGCAAGGGCTGGCTGATTTACAAGCAAGCTGATGCCCCAAAAAAAGAGGGAGCATGTGTCCTCTGTCCCTGACTCTGCTCATGCATGAGCCTCTTTCCTGCCGTAACAGCCCTGCACGGCTATGGGGTGAGCCAGAATCACTCAGCCAAAAAAAAGATCCTACCCTTGATGGCTCAGGATGCTTCCAACCCTACACAAAGCAGAAGCTGAGCAGTTTGTGCTGTGAACCAAGGCGAGGGAAACTGCCGTGCGTGAGACAGGATTCGCTCTTCAGGCAGAGGGTTTGCTATTCGGCGCCAGCGTTGCAAGATTGGGATTCGTCTTTGTTAGAGATTGGCAGTGTGACTCTCTGGGCAGAATCCCTGGAGCACAACCAGATCAGACACGTGCACGGCTACCTCTTCGCTTTTGTGTGTAGGCAGAGGCAGCAGGAGAGATGTCCGCTCCAGTCCTGCTTGCTGGATGTTTGCTTCCTTAATCCTTGACACCCTGCATCATCCCCTGCCACTAGCATCATCCTTCGTGATACCCTCATCAGTCCCATCTATAACCGCCCTCCTGATGCCTTCTCTTGCTTCTCCTGTGTCAGTATCCCCCACCCTTCCTCATACAGGGCCTGTCCTCCCAGTGCCCCGGTCATGGCTTCCCCCTCCCATTGGTGCCTTTTGTCTGGTCTATGGTTATATGCATGCACACCTGCAGCTCCAGGCAAATGTCCCCTGTACGTACTATTCCTGCTGTTATCATGGATAGATGGACAAAAGGGCTGTGCATTGGGCTAGTATCAGACACAACAGAGGCGAACATTCACTGTCTGCTCCGCTTTCAGTGGGTGAATGTGTTTATCTTTAAACACCTGTAGAAATGTATATGATAGGCTGCAATAACCTTTCTTCATTAGGTATATCTCCATAGATTATTATTATTATTATTATTTATTTCCTAGAACTGGAAGGGCCCCTGAAAGGTCATCAAGTCCAGCCCCCTGCTTTTACTAGCAGTACAAAGTACTGATTTTGCCCCAGATCCCTAAGTGGCCCCATCAAGGATTGAACGCACAACCCTGGGTTTAGCAGGCTAATGCTCAAACCACTGAGCTATCCCTCCCCCCAATAACCTGTCCGTCCGCTGACCTGACGTTTGCAAAGATAACAGGTCGAACCTCAGTTGTTAAATAGAAACCACCTTTGCATACAGGGGCGGCTCTAGGTTTTTTGCTGCCCCAAGCACGACAGGCAGGCTGTCTCGGCAGCGCACCTGCGGGAGGTCCCCGGTCCCGCGGATTCGGCGGGACCGGCGGACCTCCTTCAGGCAAGCCGCCGAAGGCTGCCTGACTGCCGCCCTCATAGGGACTGGCAGGGCGCCCCCCGCGGCTTGCCGCCCCAGGCACGTGCTTGTGCGCTGGTGCCTGGAGCCGCCGCTGTTTGCATAGAGGGTGATTTTAAAAAATTGCTGCTCGTTAATTGCCTGTGTAGTGCCATAAATTTACAAGCAAGAGGAGGTAGTCAAATCAGCAGATCTGGTATTTATAGAAGCCCCGTTCTTCTGTGTCTAACTGAGTCACTTTCACTCTGCCCCCAAGTCAGGTACAGTCTGAAATAGAGGGAGGCAGAAAAGTTTTTTTTGGGGTGGGGGTGGGGGACTAGGCCTTGTCACAAAAACATGGCAAAGAAAAAAAATTAAATTCACCTCCCAAGAAAAGGCTGCTCACAGCCGGTCTAACTTGTGCTTTAGTTTTTTTTGTTTGTTCAACATGTGACTTAATGCCACAGTATTCACTAAGCATGGACATTGCTACGGCAACAGCGGTAGCACATGACATGTTGGCTGCCTTTTGAAATGCAAAGTCTCCTCTAACAGACGCTCATGCATGCCCTGGCTGATGGGAACGGCATCCATTTGCACACTGGCTTAAAAATAATGCAGGCAGCACTCAAGAGCAGGACGTGCTTTGCTCTGTTTTTATTGAGGGCACGGCAGAGTATTTTTTTTAGCCTGCATTAAGAATTGCTTAATTGTCCACTGAAAGAAGAAAAGGAGGTGGATTATTTTAGGGATGGGAGAATTCGGGTGCTAGCCTTGATGTGCAGGCTTGGAGGAGGTGGAGAGAGAGATGACAGATGACTGAATCCATGCGAAATCTTGCAATTGTAGGTGCTAGTCCCAATATTGACTAATATCCATGATGAGGTTGTATCTTTGGCAGCAGTTTTCTATAGATCCATTTTGATGCTGAGCAGTTACACCTCCACTAAATAAAACCAGAGGGGCAGAGCCTCTTTTGATTTTAGTTCTGACCCAGTGATTTTAAAGCACGGACTAGGCTGCCTCTGGCCTCAGTGGAAACAAAACACAGTTGCCTACATCTGGACTAAGTATTGCCTTAACGCTAGGCTGCGTTGAGCATCGTTCTTTTATCGCTGTCACTGAGGACGAAATAGTGGGTGACCTGATAGGTCTCCTCCAGTACTAGTCGCGGAAAATTAGTTCTAAAAAAAAAGTCTGAGGTCACCTAATCCATCCTCCGCTTGGCTAGTGGAGGGGTGTTCCCTTCAGCCTATTCTCCATTGCTTTTGTGTAGGTGG